TGCTAGTTATACACTCTTTCTATAATTATCTCTGTGCTATTACATCAACAAATGCTGGCCAACTGATACTACCAATAAAATCCTAAGTCATATATACTTATCTTAATATTAAAAAAAAAAAACAATAAAAATTGGTTTATCTACAAATTGGAACAAAACTATGGTAGCACTAAGCCTATATGAGGTAGCTTCAAATGCAAAAATTAACAAAACTAAAACCAAATTAGTTCTTCTTACAGCTATAGCTTGATGAATAGAACTTATTAACAAAAACCAATTTATCAAATTAGAAAAACAAGAAAATATTACTATTTGGACTATAACATTTTTACTAATGACCAACTGAAGAAAGATCTTTGGGCCACCACTATTAACAAACTAAAAAAATTTCTAAACAAGCTTTTAAACAAAAACTTTTTTTTTAAAAAGAAAATTTTAATTGCAAAGTCACTTATCTTATTTAAAGTTTGGTACTCAGCATATTTGCTATCTCCAAACAAAAAGCAAATAACAAAAATAAACAAAATTATAATTCTTTGGATCAAAGATACATTACAGATGCTTTTCAGATATTCTATTTTTTAGCAATTAACAGAGTTAGCAAATTTTTAAGCTCTAGTTATTAAAAATATGCTAGATGCTCACTTAATAACAGTTTGAATGAGACTTCTTACATTCAACTTTATATGGTCAATATATAAAAAAAATAAGATATTGTCAATACTTAGTGATAAAAAAAATATTTCTTCTATTTAAACACTAAATTCTGGCAATACAAGTATAAAAGCCTAACCTTTAGGATAGAAACTTTATTTAAAAGCCTAGGCAAGAATCAAAACAAGGTTTTATATACTTCTAACTGGCCTTGGAATAGTAATAAAATTAGAATCAAAGAAATTAAAAGAGATGAACTCTTAGTCAAAAAAATTTTAGAATTCTTAAAAGAATCTTTTCTTTTAATAACTATATCACAAACTCTTTCGCAGATGCCTTAGCATGCCTAACTCTTTTGAAGTTTGTTTGTAATAAGAAAAAAGATATTTTTTGGCATCTTTTTCACAGAGTACTTCTACTGAATTATCAATTAAGACTTATTGGATTATTAGAAACAAAAAACTGTACTTGGAGTTTAGATGAAGTACAAACTATAAAACACTTTGCTTTAGAATACCCTCATAGTATAATAATCTGAAAGAAAATATACAGTTTTCTTAATATTAATAAGAAAATATCTATACTGTTCTTACTATAGGATATCTTTTAAGTCTTTAACAATACTTGTTCTTAGGCTTTAGCAGCTTTAACCTAGTTATATATTACTGCAATTTATGAAATATAGTGTTAATATATTTTTGTAAAATAGTAAAATTTAGATACATCTCTTAACTTTCTAAACTCTTTTATTAGAAATTGCATTTCAAAGAAAATACAAATTCTAAAAAACAACCTTTTTGATACTAGATCTAAATCTTTTAAACTAATATATAAATATTTAAAAAGTAACTAAGTCATTTGTAATATCTTAATAAAATAGTGCCATTTGTGTCACTAGTTGTAATGACAATAGAGATATTCAAAAAAAAAATGTATATAGTTTTTAAATAAATATTAAATAAAAAGTATACATTTTTTTTAAACAACTCTTTTCTGCAAATTCTTTAACCAAAATTAGTAAGAAGCAAAATGCAGAAAAAAGCATAAAACCTACTAGAAAGCAACACTTAGACCCTTAACAAAAAAGAAAGAGCTGCAAAAGTTATACTTAGTTAAAAAACAAAGATACAAACAAAAAAGTATAAGGTAGCATAGCTTAAAAAGATTAAAAATTTCAATAAAAATAAAAATTTTTTGTAGAAATTTTTGGGAATTCCTGTAATCCTATTGCAAAGATCAATTTAGGTTATATAGAAAGTATAGCAAATAAATAAAGTAAACAAACAATACACATATAGTAGAGTAGTCTACTAGAATAAGTATGTAATATAGAAACAAATAAACTAAACAAGTTGATGGCAGAAACACATAACAAAGATATTATAGAGCATATTAAAAAAATAGAAGATAGAAATTGCAAAAAGTAAATTGCAAAATATTAGACCAAGTTCTCAAAACATCAACAAAAGATTCAAGCAATATAAAATATATTGCAAAAGACTTAGCAATCTATGATCTAAAATATATTATACCATAGGACTTACTAGTATATAGCCAGATATTAGAAACCTTAAGAATAGCAGAAATAAGCTAGCTTAAAGAAGAAATAATTAACAAGTAGATAGAAAAGCTTAGAGCAATAAGCTACAATTTAAGCTTATTTGAATATGATATAGATATAAAAGAAAAAAAAGTATACCAAAAAATAATAATAGTAAAAAAAAGATAAGAATCTTAGTTGAAACTAACAAAACAAAAAATTTTATTAATAGAAAACAGAATCAAAAAAAAAAACAATTCTAAAGAGTTGAAGCAGAAATTAGAAATACTAGAAGAACAAATAAAAAGGCTCAGAATAGCTACATTGTAATATCAAACAAGTTAAACAATTAATAACTTTAAATATAAAGAAAAAATATTAACAGAAAGCAAAGAAATAAAATTAGAAATCATAGATATAGAAGTAACAGAACAAGAAGAAGAAATAAACAGTAAAGAGGATAAAACAATATTTCCTACAGGTTTAATTGAGCACAGTTGTTGGTCTTCGGAAAATTGAATATATAATAAAAATAAGTCCTTTAAAGCAAATATGCCAATATATACCTTATTAGGAGAAACCAAAGAAGAAGAATAAAGTATGTTTAATAAATTCTAAAGAAAAATTATTACATTAAAATAGTCAAAGAAGTATTCAAAAATGGAAACAATTAGATAAAAATAGATTTTGACTATGAGCATAATAGAGATGCAGCAATAAACAGAATTAAGAAAAAGGAAGAAGAATGGCTAAAGCTTATACAAAAGAAACTAATAACAGAACTTATAATATAAAACAGCAAAAGAAGCATAATACTAAGAGAAGAAAAGAAGAAAATACAAGTTAAATAGAAATTAAAAAGAATAATGAAGATTACAGCTTACAAGAGCAACAAGCCAGTTCACATCAAAGTTACTAAAACTTCCTAAAAACACATCTGAAGTGTTGCTACTATGATGTTTAAAAAAAAAAGTGCTAAGTCAGTATATATACCAACAAACAAAAATGGTAATCAAAAAAGATTTGCAATAATTATCTTTGCATCAAAGAAGAAGATAAAAGCAGCACAAACCAAACCAATAAAATTTAACAATTACTTGCTATTTTGACAAGAGAAAATAAAAGAAAAGAAGCATAATGAAAAGAAAGCTTACTATAAGTGTATAACTGTACATAATATAGACAAAGACTTAAATACAGAAGTATATAAAAGCAAGAAAAGTAAAAAAAAAAAAAGTCACAGAAGAGTTTAAAGAAAAGAAGCACTGCATATATTCAACAAGTAAAAAAGATCTACAAATATAAAACAAAGACCTTTTGAAAAACATTCTTGAGAAACTAGAGAGACTTGAAGCACAACAAAACAAGATAAAATAGAAAATATCACCAATCAATTCTAATAGTGTTACAGTTGAATTAATGAGTATAGACCAGGAGATAGAGGAGTTCTTAAATAGTAAAAAAAGAACTTTCAAAAAAAAAATATAGAGGCATCTCCTAGCTATAATGAGAAACCAAAGAAAATAGGAAAAAAAAAGATAGAAAACATAGAAACAAGGCATAAACATCTAAAAGAAAAATAAAAACAGTAAAAGAAAAAATTTAAAATGCACCCCTACTTTCTGTGCCAGGTTATATCAATCACTATATGGTGTAATTATTGTAACAAATTATATTGATCACTATAACATGATATGCACAAAGTAGATAATAAATGAACCAAGCCATATACTGAAAAAAGATAAAGACTATATCTATGTTTAATCCTAGCATATATACATAATTAATTTAAAATTTTTTAAATCAACTTGTGCTGTTAAGAGAAAACCATCTATCAGGCTTTCAATTATATTTTGTTCTGGACACAATCTATTAAATTTATTAGGACTATGTCTGGCACAAAATATAATTAAAAGTCTGATGGATAGTTTTCCCTCATTTATAAGTTATATTATATAAGAGATAATAGTTTCAAATTATAATTATGACAAAGTAATAATTGACAGATCAGTGATATAATCATACATAATAGAAAAAGTATACATATATTAAGTTTGATCTTTAAAATTGAACTTCTACTTCATTATCTTGAATAAAACAAGCATTGAGAAATATCATTGTATATGTGTATATAGAAAGTTTGGTGGCAAAGGAGAGGTTTAGTGTTAGAAAGCTGAAGTAGTGAAAATAAAAAGCAGGTGCCTAAAATAATAAATACAAATCTTTGAGCATTTTAAACATATAAAACATAGTATTATTAAAGCATAGGATATAACTTGTATAATGACAATCTTTTAAGTAACAACTAGGTAGAAACATCAACAAGAAATCAAATAAAAAATAAATAAATTAAATAAAAAAAATAAAAAATAAAATAAAAAAAAATTAAAAATAAGAAATTAAGTAGGAAACATTAGGCAATCAAATTTAAAAAAAAAGGACTCAAATTTTATATAAGTAATTAATAGATTAGAATTTTTGTAATTTTTGTTAAAATAATAACTTACAATTTATATTACTTAGCAGAATCAACCTTGTATCTACTAAAAGCATGACCTTCACATTTACCAATTATATGAATAAAGATATGTTTACAAAGTATATCAGGAAGGATATGTTCATGAATTGTATAGAAAATATATTCACAAATAATACAGAAAATACATTCACAAATAATACAGAAAATACATTCACATATAATATAGAAAATACATTCACACATTATATATGAAATAAATCTATAAGTTATCCAAAGAATATATTTCCAAGTTATATGAACAATACATTTACAAATAATATAATACAAATGAATGCTTCAAACTTAATTATTGATAAAGGCAATAAAATGGGTAAAGGCAGTAGTATGAATAAAATTATAGAAGTTGATGATGGCATGGAAGTAGATAATAACACAGAAGTGAATGATAGCATAAAAGTAAATAAAAGCATTAGAGTAGATAATGGCATCGAAGTAAGTTAAAGCTTGTATCTGTCTATCACTATTACTATTTGTTTAAATATTATAAACTTATATATTTACTTATTCTCATAATTTATAAAGATCGTCCTGATATTGAAGATAGCAAATATATAGAGGAAGTAACCTGTTCTGTACATCTAAAGGTACCAAGCCAGAGCTCTGATCACACCTATATAGAAGTCTATGATGATATAAGGATGAACGTACCAACATGAATGCTACACCAATCAAGGTTGAAATACCCCAAATTGGAAGTAATAGTAATATTACGATGGT